CTGTGCTCTCGGAGGATGTGTCCCTAAAGGGAAGTTCTGTGTTCAGGTAGGGACTGTCTGGGCAGAGTGGCGCCATCTCCACCTGTGCTACAGATCCTTTTTAGGTAGCTGTGTATGGGACCCTTTAGTAGATTGTGAGATAGACTTAAAAGATATCAGTCAACATTAAGAAAGGAAGGAAGGAAGAAAGACATATTTATCTAGTAAAGGGAAGTAGTGTTTTGTAAAACATTGTTTATAAATTCATAAAGGATTTGTAATCACAAAGTTTGAAAAAAACTGTGGGTCATGAGACCCTTTGATGCTACCATATCATGTCATACTGAGTATACCTCCAGTTAGCCTTCAGTCTTTTCTCCCTCTCGATTCCTGAGACAGTCGGATGTGCTCTGCTGCCATTGCTTCTCCCATTTTTAATCTGTGTAGATGTGGTTTGGGGTGTGAGTACGGGACCCTGCTTACCCTGTTAGATTTTTTCTCTCTGGCCTGTTGAAGTTTTCACTCCTGGCACTGTCATTCAGCATAGGTTTATCCCTCCTATTTTCTTTTCTTTTCTTTTTTTTTTTGTGGACACAATACCTTTATTTTATTTATTTATCTTTATGTAGTACTGACGATCGAACCTCACACATGCCTCACACATGCTAGGCAAGCACTCTACCACTGAGTTACAATCCCAGCCTGCCTCCTGTTTTCAACATCTGCCTGTTTGATAAGTGTGCCCTCTCTATTGTTATTGATAAACATGTTGAACTGGACAGTTCTGAGAACAAAGCCCTGTGGTGGACTTCTAGAGATTCATCCCCCATCATTTGACATCCCACTTGTGCTCTTGTCTCCAGTGGTGAGCCAGCCTTTACAGCTGTGATGCTCCATAGCCAGCCTCAAAGGGGCCACAGCAGACCTTGTGAAATTTGAACTTCTGCAGACTGAGTTGCATATTCAAAAGCCTTCAGGGGCTTGGCAGGTAACACAAGTGAATGAAATGATAATTAATTCAGGCAATTAGTAAGTAATCCCTGACCCCTGACCTTGGTTTCGAGGCAATACAGAGTGGTGGAACTGAGTATGAGCTGGAGCACTTACATTTTGTGATTCTGCAGTCACCGCTGCTGTAGAGGTGTGGACCATCAAGGAAATCCCAGGTTTCGTGTGCAGTTTGATTTTTAAATGTTGGGAAAATAAACAAAAATATGAATACTGTGTAGGCCTTCCAGCAGATTGGTGGCAGATTTGGCTCACAGCCTTCGGATTTGTGACTGGACCGCCATGGGATCTCTCCATCTGCTGGCCCACTGACCACGTGACAAGAGGAGTTAGACTAGTTGGGTATGCACAGGTTGAGGTCCTCTGTGGAACCTGGCTCCTGTGGCTCCTCTGGGAATGCATTCAGGGGTCTTACCCGGCATGGTTCTCAAACTGAGGCGACTGGAGGCTGGGAATGGTGTTGCCCTTTGTGCCTGTTGGTGTCCTCCCCTGCTCCAGGACCATTGGCAGGTGTTGAAAAATATTTCAGTGGGCTTCCTGACTGGGAAACTAGAATTTAGGGTTTCTTAAGATCTCCCCACCCCTGCTGGCTTTGTTTCCTTTCCCTCATATCCTTACCTACTTTTCCCTTTCTTCTCTTTTTTTGGGACAAAAAGCATTTTACTTCGCAGGGAATTCTAAGGCACGAAACTAGCCTAGCCCTTCCTTGTTCTTATTCACACACCAAAAATAACTTTTTAAATCCCTTTTCGTTGTTGTGACCATTTTGGGAAAGCCTCAGCTCGTGTAGCATTAGTCTTCCTGACACTGTTTTTGTAAATCCATGCTACACTCACGTTTTTGGTGAGTTTTTTTGTTTTGTTTTGTTTTGGTACCAGGAATTGAACCCAGGGGTCCTTAACCACTGAGCCATATTCCCAGCCCTTTTTTAATATTTTATTTTGTGACAGGGTCTCACTAACTTGCTGGGGCTGGCTTTGAACATGGAATCCTCCATCTCCCGAGCTGCAGGGATTACAAGAGTTCTCCGCTGCGCCCACCTCATGTTTCTTTGTGGTTATGCGTGCTCCTTCTGTCCTTTATATACAAGCATGTAAATTTTGATTTCCTCAGACTTTGTAGGCTTTGTCAGCTCACGTTCATGTAGGTCTATAAGAAGGAAGGGAGTGCGGGGTCATCTGCCATACTCCTGGGCCTTTCCTCTGAAAAGTGGTCTTCCTCCAGGGTTAGAGAGATGCTGGATTATTCCATGGCCAGTGGGGGATGTGATGCCTCTTAATCTCCTGGGATTATGCTGCTGTACCAGCTGTGGACAGGAGGCACAGAGTCATTAAGATTTGGACATTGGCTGGTAGGGCAGGCAGCTGCTCGAACATGTGATAGTCATGGCGTATGATAATGATAATAAAGGTTCTATGGGAACCTAGGGAAGAAGCCACAGTGTACAAAGTGTCATTAGATCCCAGGAGAAGGAACCACAGATAACTCTGCCAACTGGGTGGGAGAGGAGGTGACGCTAGCTGGTGCTTGAAAAATAAGCCAGAGTGACCCTCTCAGTGCCTGAGGACTGGTAACTCCATGTACAAAGCTTGTTGACATCAGAGAAAGTGGCCCATTGGAGAACCCTAAGGGTCCCTTGTGACCAGAACAGGAGCAGTGATGAGGATGAGGCAGGAACTGAAGGCTAGGGCTTCACCTCTCACAGGTCTGATCTGAAGTCCTAGTTTCTGCCACCACTTTGGAGCCTCTGATGGCCCTTTCTGGCAGTCTTGGAGCTAGCATCATTTTAGCAATCTGTTTAAAGTGCTTTGTATTTTGTTTTCTTTCTTTTTTAAAAAAAATCTTTATATTTTAGTTCTAGTTGGACACAATAACTTTATTTTATTTATTTATTTTTATGTGGTGTTGAGGATTGAACCCAGGGCCTTGCACCTGCTAGGTGAGCGCTCTACCGCTGAGCCACAACCCCAGCCCCAGATTTCTTTTTTAGCTTTTTATTTTGATGCAAGTTTAAAACTTACAGAGAAGTTGTACAGGGATGGACATATTGGTACATGCCTATGATTGCAGCAACCGGGAGGCTAAGGCAGGAGGATCACAAATTTGAGGCCAGTCTGGGCAACTTAATAAGATCCTGTCTGAAACAAAATAGAACAGGTTGGGGATGTAGCTAAATGGTTATTGCAAACAAACAAAAAACATTTGTAAGAATAATGCCTGGGTCTCCTGTATACCCCAATTGTTTACATTTTGCCTCATGTGCCTTATAGTTTTCTCTGTATATAGTATGTAGGTATTTTTTATATACACATATAGCTTTTTTGAAATCATTTGTAGATAAGTTGGAATTACTGTGTCCCTTTACCCCATTACTTCAGCGTGTGTGTCATAACAAGGATATTCTCTTATGTAACCATAGCCTAATGATCCACATCAAGAAGATTAAGTGCACTCAGTATTATCTTGTCCATGTCCACATTCAAATTTCATGAATTGTTCCAACAATATACTTTATTGATGGTTTTTCTTAGTCGGAGATCGAACCTGTGAGCCTGCATTTTTGTCCTTACAAATTGGAAGAGATTGTTTCTTGACTGAAATATTTAAAGAGAACATTTCAGGTACTTTGTAGAACACCCTGCAATTTTGGTTTCCTGACATTTCCTCAAGAGTAGATTCAGGTTCTACATTTTGGCAAGAGTTCTGTGTGAAGGGTGTTAATCCTCAGTGTATCATAGGCAGAGGCAGGCCCATGATGTTGGTCTGTCTTAATATTGGTGATGATAACTTTGGTCATTTGGTTAAAGTGGTATACATCAGATTTCTTCACTACAGAGTTCCTGTTGTAATTAAGTGATCTGCAAGGAGGTGCCTTCAGACCTTCTATCTTTGTATACTACTTGCAGCATCCACTGTGACTTTCAAAATCTGTCATTCCTTGGGTGTTCTTTCTTGGCATTTGATAGTAAAGAAGAACTTTTCTTTCCTGAAGGATGAGTTTCGCAGACTCAATTTCATGTCTTATTAGTATTGGCCTTGCTGGGTGTTCCTGGTCCCCTTCCTCTCGTGCTTTCCCTTTTGTGCTTCTGTAGATATCAGGTGTATAATGGTGGTTCCTGGACTTGGGAAGTGGCCTGAGTCTTTTTTTTTTTTTTTTCCTAAGCAGCAATTTTCTTGTCATCAGCATGATTGACTTGGCACGGGCTAAACACACACCATGTGGGATCCAGTGTTTCCCTCCAGCCTGGGGCTATGTAGGGAATGTGGTCTGTCCCTTGCTGTTTGACAGCTCAGCCTGGGCTTAAGTGAGGACAGTAAAGGAGAGAGAAAGGAACTGTGGATTCCTTCCTGATAAGTAGCAGGGCTGACTGCTGGTCCAGGCTGAGTTTATGAAAGGGCTTTTCCCCACTGACCCTTACATGTACATGCTTCCCACTTAGAGCACATAGTTATGTGCTGGGCTTGGCTAGCTTTCTTTACCTCTTGGGGAAAAAAAAAGTATGGTCCTGGTGTGACTTTGGTGATTGTGAGTTAGACTTTTTCTTGGTGCCCTTGGTTTCGGGGAGCTTGTCAGTATGATTAGTCTGAGACTGTCACAGAGCCTGAGCAACACTGAGGACTCTGTTAGGACCTCCTTGTTGCAGAGTGTGGTGGTGTATGCCTGTAAACTCAGCTACTTAGGAGGCTGAGGCAGGAGGATTGTGAGTTTGAGCCAGCCCCATGCAACATCAAGACTCTGTCTCAGAAATGAAAAAGCTGGGGATGTATCCCAGTGATAAGTCACCCCGAGTTTAATCCTCAGCACTAGGGGGAAAAAATCTTTCTATTGCAGCTGGTGAGGCTAACTAAGGAATAGAGACATGGGAGGATGAACTGAGGCTCAGGAAGTACCAGGAGAGGGTTTGTAAGAAAAACAGGATTGGGAAGTACATCGGAGTTGTGTGAAGAGGGTGATGCCTTTCAAATAATGTGGTTCATCTTTTTTCCTTTTTTGCTTTCCCCTCTCTCTCCAGACAGGCCCAGAGCTCAGCCCAGTTGATGGACCTGTTCCAGGTCAGATGGACTCAGGGCCAGTGTACCATGGGGACTCAAGGCAGCTAAGCACCTCAGGGGCGCCGGTCAATGGTGCTAGAGAGCCCGCCGGACCCAGTCTGCTGGGGACTGCGGGTCCTTGGCGGGTAGACCAGAAGCCCGACTGGGACGCTGCCCCAGGCCCAGCTCACACTGCTCGCCTGGAAGATGCCCACGATCTGGTGGCCTTTTCGGCTGTGGCCGAAGCTGTGTCCTCTTACGGGGCCCTTAGCACCCGGCTCTATGAAACCTTCAACCGTGAGATGAGTCGCGAGGCTGGGAATAATAGCAGGGGCTCCCGGCCAGGGTCTGAGGGCTGCTCTGCTGGCAGTGAAGACCTTGACACGCTACAGACAGCCCTGGCCCTTGCACGGCATGGCATGAAACCACCCAACTGCAACTGCGATGGCCCAGAGTGCCCTGACTACCTCGAGTGGCTGGAGGGGAAGATCAAGTCTGTGGTCATGGAAGGAGGGCAGGAAAGGCCCAGGCTCCCAGGGACTCTGCCTCCTGGTGAGGCTAGCCTCCCAGCCCCAAGCACCAGGCCACTCCTTAGCTCTGAGGTCCCCCAGATTCCTCCCCTGGAGGGCCTGCCCCTGTCCCAGAGTGCCCTGAGCATCGCCAAGGAAAAAAACATCAGCCTGCAGACCGCCATCGCCATCGAGGCCCTCACACAACTCTCCTCTGCCCTCCCCCAGCCTTCTCACTCCACCTCCCAGGCTTCTTGCCCCCTCCCTGAGGCCTTGTCCCCTCCAGCCCCTTTCAGGTCTCCCCAGTCCTACCTCCGGGCCCCCTCATGGCCTGTGGTTCCCCCCGAGGAGCATGCATCTTTTGCTCCTGATAGCCCTGCCTTTCCTCCAGCAACTCCTAGAACTGAGTTTCCTGAAGCCTGGGGCACCAACACCCCACCAGCCACATCCCGGAACTCCTGGCCTGTGCCCCGTCCAAGCCCTGACCCCATGGCTGAACTGGAGCAGTTGTTGGGCAGTGCCAGTGATTACATCCAGTCAGTATTCAAGCGACCTGAGGCCCTACCCACCAAGCCCAAGGTCAAGGTTGAGGCACCCTCTTCCTCTCCAGCCCCAACCCCATCACCAGTCCTCCAGAGGGAGGCTCCCCCACCATCCTCGGAGCCCAGTACCCACCAGAAGGCCCAGACCGCCCTACAGCAGCACCTCCACCATAAGCGAAGTCTCTTTCTAGAACAGGCCCACGATGCCTCCTTTCCCCCTCCCTCAGAGCCTCCTACTCCTGGCTGGTGGGCCCCACCAAGCTCACCTGCCCCACGGCCTCCTGACAAACCACCCAAGGAGAAGAAGAAGAAGCCCCCCACACCAGCTGGAGCTCTTGTGGGAGCAGAGAAAACCACCCCTGGAGTTAAGCCCAGTGTCCGAAAGCCCATTCAGATCAAGAAGTCCAGGCCCCGGGAAGCACAGCCCCTCTTCCTGCCACTGCGGCAGATTGTCCTGGAAGGGCTGAGGTCCCCAGCTTCTGAGGAAGTGCAGGCACATCCACCTGCCCCTGTCTCTGTCTCTCTCCCTGCCCCTGTCTCTCTGTCTCTCCCTGCCCCAGTCTCTGTCTCCCTCCCTCCCCCTGTTTCTCTCCCTGCCCCTCTCCCAACCCCTCCCCCTGTCTCTCTCCCTGCCTCACAGGGCTCTGCTGTCTCCTTGCCCCCAGAACCTTCTCTTGCGCTATTTGCACCTAGTCCCTCCGGGGACAGCCTGCTGCCCCCTACTCAGGAAATGAGGTCCCCCAGCCCTATGGCAACCCTGCAGCCAGGCTCCACTGGCCCCCTTCCCCCTGCCGATGACAAGCTGGAAGAGCTCATCCGGCAGTTTGAGGCTGAATTTGGGGATAGCTTTGGGCTTCCCGGCCCCCCTTCTGTGCCCATTCAGGACCCTGAGAACCAACCAGCATGTCTCCCAGCCCCTGAGAGCCCTTTTGCTACCCGCTCCCCCAAGCAAATCAAGATTGAGTCTTCAGGGGCTGTGACTGTGCTCTCAACCACCTGCTTTCATTCGGAGGAGGTAGGCCAGGAGGCCACACCAACCAAGGCTGAGAACCCACTCACACCCACCCTCAGTGGCTTCTTGGAGTCACCTCTTAAGTACCTGGACACACCCACCAAGAGTCTGCTGGACACACCTGCCAAGAGGGCTCAGGCTGAGTTCCCAACCTGCGATTGTGTCGGTAAGTCCACCCAGGTGTCAGGGAAGAGCAAAGGGCCATGGCCTGGTGGCTTTGAATCTCCAGGCTCTGCCTTTTCATTTGGAAAACACTTATGAGTTTCCCAGCAAGCTGAGTCCTGGGAACACAGAAGTGAGCTCAGAGGTGAATGAAAAAGATTGATGGGAACTGATTATGATGCCATGAGGTGTGTGCCATGTTAGTGCAGGTAGGACAGGTGCTGTGTGGTACAGCTTGAGCTAAAAGCACCTGAAGGTGGCTCCGGTGCTGAGCCCCTCAGGGCCAGCAGGCAGAAAGGAGACATTCTAGGAAAAGGGAACAGATTGAGCTATGGGAAGGTGGAACTTGTTTGGACTGTTCTTGGTCTGGCAAGAGAAGAGAGGAGAAAGAAAAGGTGGCTTGAGGGGTAGGCAGGGGCCAGATGGAGCAGAGCCCAGGGAGCCAAGGTCAGCAGTTGGACTAGGTGAGCTCCTAAGAGGTCAAAAGCAACTAATGCCCTGCCAACTTATGCTTTGAAAGACTGTTCTGGCTTGTGAGGAGGAAAGATTGGTGGAGGGTTCTATAAGAAAGGAGTTGTGGGTTAGGAAAGGACAAAGGGTCCTAGAACCTCTTAAGAGGAGAAGGCAATGAGGCCAACTTGGGTCTCCACTGTGATGGTGGTGTTTGCTAAGACCACAGGTTCGAAGGAGAGTTTGTGAGTTCTGTTTGGATGAGTGGGTCTGAAGTGGCTGAGAGGCCAGGGGATGAGTTAGGGGTTTTAACAGAGGTACTTGTGGGGTAATGCGTGCAGCAGTGCTGTGGGGTCAGAACACTGAAGAGTTAGCTGGTATGGTAGGCCTTGCTCTCCAGGGTAAAACATAAGACACGTGGATTCTGTTTAGAGGAGGTTGCTGGTGCGGTGGTAGGCTCCAGGCTCACCCTGGGCTCCGAGCTCTGCTGTTGATAGAGATTCTCTGAAAGACAGGTGTTGACAGAAGAACACTGAGGCTGGCGATAAGCATGTTGAATTACTGTGACTTTATGGTACACAAATGGGTATTAGGAAAGGACAGTCCTGTCCTCTTGACTTGTCAAAATACATAAATAGCAACAAAATTGTGTGATTTGTTGGGAAGCCGAGTCACAGCCTGTGAGAAGGAGCTGTCCTTCCACTCCAGCTACCCCAGAGTCCTGTGTAGACACCAAGGGACCAGGGACAAGGATTCTCTTGCAGTGCAAAAAATGTTGGCTTCTGTTGGAGCAAGCAGACATGTAGGGTCCTGCTGAGTGTGCACAGACATGTCAGCATCACGTTCCGCTCACCTTGCTCCTTAGGCATGACTAGTGTTGACAAGGTCTCGAGGGCCACCTTATCTCCCAGTATTTGGGGGAATCTAGTTCCAATCATAGGAATTGGGCCCCCTCCCCTTGCTCTTTTCTGTGTTTGTACACATCTGTCCCTCCTGCCTGGGTTTAGTGCTATGTTAGGTGTTTCCCTTCCTCCAAGGTCAGAAATGTCCTTACCAAGTGCTTAGGGCATAGTTGATTCTTAATAAATGTTCTAATTGTTGCATTCAATTGCATAGGTATTAGGGTTGGTCAAATTAGTTTCTTTTTTTTTTTTTAAATTTAAATTTCAACTGCCATGCTTACTAGTGCGGAGAGCTTAGGTACTTTCCCAACCTCCAATATCTTGTTTCTTCAGTGTACAATGAAAATGGTAATAGCACCTACTCACCAGGCTGAGGGTTGGGTTAGTTCATCTGTGCAAACACTTAGAACCACATCTGGGTCATAGTGAGGCCTAGAGGAGCACCAGCTGGTCTCACGCCTGTCAAGTCCAATCAGCAAGAAAAAGAAATAAAAACACATGCATTGTAAAAGAAGGACAAGGTTGTTGTCCTGTATCTATCAGTCATTCATTGATCACCTAGCCCTGTATCCTTAATCACTATGAATAAAAATGAAGACAAGTGGCTCAGCAAGGAAGGACTTTGTGGCTTGCTTGAGGAGACAGAATAGATGATAAAATACATAGTGGCCCATTCAGTGGGATCTGACCCTGCACTCCACCACAGCCATGCTTGCATGGAAGTAGCTGTGCTATAAGAGTATGTGGAGGACCAGGTTTGGTCATCATTAAGGAGATACATGTTTTATTTAGGAAACTTGGCCAAGCTGAGTTTTTAAAAAAATGTAGAGAATACAGATGGTGAGAGGTGAGAAGGTGGCCTCTCCAGACACAGAAATACATGAGCACAGGGTTGGGGCAGCAGGGAGCACAGATCCAGGTGGAAGCCCACTAGTGCAGGGCTGGACCTGAAACCTTGGTATTCTGCTGTGTTCCTGGGACTTGAGGAGCTCCCAGGGGGGATGTGTACCAGCTTCAAGTGTACCAGCTTCAAGCCAATGAGCAAAAATGTAGGCAATAGACACTCAGCATCCAAGAACCCCAGCAATGCAAAAGTGGCAGCTACTGCCTTAGCAGGCAGATGGAGGGCATCGGCAATGGGCAAGAGGCAAGGGGAGCAGAGTCCCATCATTGCCAGCCACTTACTCTTCCAGGTTGTATTTTATCTGTATCTAAACAAAGAATTAGAACCAAACCTACCTTATGTTGTTTATTGTTCAATCATAGGAAAATGCTTGGGTGAAAACAGAAAATATAACAGTATAATATATATGGGCACGGTGGTACATGCTTGTAATCTCAGTAGCTCAGGAGGCTGAGGCAAGAGAATAGTGAGTTCAAAGCTAGCCTCAACAATTTAGGCGAGGCCCTAAGCAATTTAGCAAGACCCTGACTTTGAGTAAAATATAAAAAGGGGCTGGGGATGTGGCTCAGTGGTTAAGTGGCCCTGGATTTAATTCTTGGTGACTTTTCTCTTCCCAAAAGAAAAGTATATAAATGGTAATCTTGTTTGGTTTAAAAGAAAATAGAGAAAAAGACTAGCAGGCACTTTGTCAAGTGATTGTTTCTATGGTCAGACTACAGGTAACCTTTCTGAATTTTTTTCTATGACAAAAATATGTATTTTATAATTGATATTTTAATTTTTAAAAATATTTTTAGTTGTAGTTGGACACAATACCTTTATTTTATTTATTAATTTTTTTTTTAATGTGGTGCTGAGGATTGAACCCAGCGCCTTGCGTGTGCTAGGCGAGCTCTCTACCACTGAGCCACAGTCCATTATCTTATATTAGACAAAGGTGCCAAAAACATGCACTGGGGAAAAGATAGCATCTTCAACAAATGGGGCTGGGAAAACTGGAAATCCAAATGCAACAAAATGAAATTAAACCCCAGTCCCTATAATCGATATTTTTAAAAGTGCACCCTAGCAGTAACATGGAAGATGGGTTGGTGGAGGGTGGTTACCCTGTGGCAGGAGACTGGTGGCTGTTGAGAATAACAATATTGGTATTTATGAAACACTTGCTCTGATCCGGGCATTGTGCCAGGTACTTTACAGTTACCACCTCGTTTAATCCTCGTAACATTTGTATGAGGTGAGGACCATCAGTGGCTCCATTTTAACAGCAAAGAAACAAAAGTCAGATTAAATAATTTCCCAAGGTCATAGAAAGTTGGAAGTGAGATTTGAGCTCAGCAGCAGGACTCCTGACCACGTGTCATTGAAATTGGTTGAGAAACAAGCCCTAACTGTACCAATGGCGGCAGAGTGAAGAGAGCACAGTAGAAGGGATTTTCCCTGAAACAATTTTTGTGGGGACTGAGGGTTTGTGATAGGGAAGCTATCCTGGACTCCAGAGGTGTCTGGAGCCCTGCGTCTGCTCAGGTGCTTCATCAGCTGGGGGGAGATGGGAGTGGGGAGAACTCTGCCATTGTGAATTCAGGCTCAGGACAAGGTTTAGAGATAAAGGTGCTCACTCAAGGATTAATTACAGATAGGGACCATCCTGTATCCCCCAACTCATCCCCTCACCCATGGGAGGCAGAGAGGTACACATGGTAGGTGCATGTAAGGAAGAATTTGCCATGGATGTGACAGTAGCTGAAAAATGAAGTCTCCATTAAGCATTCAGGATAAACAATTGATGACAGACGGTGAGAACAACTTTATAAAAGCATAACTAGTCCCTACTGCATAGCAAAGAAACCTGTTAGTCAAGTGTATTGGTTAAGTCTTGCCAATACACAATTTTGGCCAATATGGGCATCATATTAAAACCCTGAGCACCGAGAGCATTGTTTTACCCTTATGTAAAACTTATGAGTTTCCAAGGGTTTGAAGGGGATTCATCGAAGTACTAGAATTCAAGGCACCCTTGAAGCTTCAACAAACTAAATTTAGATGATATGAGAAGGTAATGTTTTCCTCCAAAAAGCATGTGATTTTACAGTTTTGAGAAAACTTAAGTTGAAGCTCTGTATTGCGTTATTGCAGGGGATGCATGGCTGTTGATATAGTTCTATTACGTTGAAGCATGCATTCAAATGCCCCTGATCCCCTAGTGATCCTATAACACAGGGGCAGGATGTGTGCAGGCCTCTCTGCATTGTATCCATTCTCAATAATGTGGAAATTTCCCAGAGGAGCCACTAGGGTAGAGAATGAGTCCAAATGACTTTTTAGTGGGAAAAGCATCCTTTGAGATCTAGTCATCATTTTATAGACGAGGAAACAGTCTGTTAGCTTTTAAATGTTGTCCTGATATCTCTGAGGAACAGCTGACAGGAAGCTGCAGAGACTAAACTCCTAGCCAAAGCAGGAAGCTGGGAGATGCAGATTTTAGGGGCTGCTATCCTAAGAAATGCTTGAATTTTTAATCAGTTGATTATCCTGTCCTAAATAAGTGGTCATATGAAAAAAATCTCCTTTCCTGGATCATGGTGCAAGTCCAGGTAAGGGAGAGGTGTTGTCCAATGGATGTGGCTGATTGCAGTATCTGTCAGTTAACCTTGGTAGGGACCACAGTCCTGAATGGGATGACACAAAGTTATTTCTGTTTACAGTCATGTAAAGTCTATTTTCTGTAGTATTTTTGAGAACTTATTC